CGATTAGAGTTCTCATGAATAAAATGTGTGTATACTCATAGGTAATGATGTGACAATATCATGTAAAACATTCATAAAAACTTTTAAGCGCCTGGAAGTTGAGTAAAAGCAGTGGCATCGTCAATAGTTACATAGAATCTCAGTATTGATTGGACGTTTAATGTCGCCATCTGTTAGCATGGTTGGTCAATAAATTACAGTAGACCCTTGTTAACCATCAGCTGTTAGGTTGTCGACATCCTTTACAGTCCACTTGCTTGTCAGCTGTGGAAACACCATCGTAATCTGACCTTAACATCTGTTCGATTTGAACAAAGATCGCTCTGTGCAAACATTCATCGTTAATAGTTACTTTGTGTGGTAAACTACAGAAATATACGTACATAAAATTACTCGAAACAATGCATGGTTTTGATTATTGGGACTTCTAATTTTTTATCGCTGTCATAAAGATTTTCATTTAACCACAATTAGGTTTATTTAGTATTATCTTAACTCCAGGATATACATAATTGATAACTCAAAAAATAAGTGGGGATCTTTAACATGACTTTGTTTTAGGGTTTTAACATGAAACACGTTATATCAATTTATATTGGTATAACAAAAATAAATTCACGTTAAAACAGTAAACACCTTCACAGCAGAAAACCTGCAGACAAAGCGAATTTCAATTCAATTGCCTACAATTCCACTAAAATATGTTATCATTTTGTTGAGGTTAGCAGCCTCTTTTAACCTTGCACTTGCCGTCCAATTAAACTGCAAATCTGTGCATGGAACGTATCCAGCAAATCAAGGGTTGAGCCAGTAGTGTAGAAAGGTGATCTGTACTGATAAAATGTTTGCGGCAGTGACCAGTATCCGAATCAACGACTCGCCGCCTTGGGCCCGAAGTCCATGACGCTACCAACTGATCGACTGACTCACCTAAATTTTGTCGGATTTGTTTCATTTAAATAATATTCATTGAAATGCGAACTTAGGTTTTCTGATACAAGGAAGGTAATAAGGTATTTCGTTTATCAATTGTAGTAGTGATAACTTAGTATAAAATAAACAAAATTGCAAAATTTCTGAAATATTTTGTATTTTTTAAGCTCCATAAAATATATCGGTAAGAAATCTTATGTTTTTAGTGTCGAAAATGGGAAAAACTAATTTCACCCCATAAAACCCCCCTGAGTCCCCATAATCAGATCATGCTGAATCCGAACTCGTTATAATAAACGTAGGATTACGCGGTTGTACAGAATTTTATCAAAATTTGATGATTATGATAATTTTCTTGAAAACGGACAAAACATTTGCAAATATATTTGTGAATTTTAACGGAGCGTGTTTCGAACTCAAAACAAAAAATAAAATTGGGTCCAGGTATTATCTTTCTTTATTTTATATAATGCTTTTCAATAAGAAACTCTAATCTACTGCCGTCTAGGCCGTACATGCACGAAATAAACCATAACCTTGCTTCTAAAAACCAGAAAAACGTTATAAAGGGTAAAATTTAAATGTTAACTAACATTACTCAATATGTAAAATTTTAAATTAAGTTCACTGTTTTGCCATTAGAGTGCATTAATAAAATGTTTATTCATAAATAAAATGTTTATTCATAAATAAATTGTACTGTGATATTTCCTGCACAAAATAGTTCAAATTAAACCTACGGTTTTAAACTTATCATTATTTCAATTATTCGTCCTATATAATCTTGAGATTTTTAAAAATTGATTACCTTCTTTTAAAACTCCACTGAAATTTTGAAAACCCCCGAAAAGGTACACAATGGGTCAATTTAGGCTTCCACTCCAGAAGAGTTGTTAATTAAAGACATTTTAAACAGCGTCACTCGGCTCAATGAGTTCTCTGATTGCTAAAGCTTTGTTATGGCGTTGGCAGCATGAAAATGGAAACAATGGGATGAAGAGTTCATTCATGGAAAATTGTTTTTTTTTTAATTTTACAAAAAGATTACAGCAGGAAATAAGTGTAACACTTTTAAGAGTTGATAACAATATTGAACACAATTTGTTATTCAAAATTACATAATATAATTACATAAACTTAATCTTTATCGTAGGATTAATGGGATACGTTTTAATAAAGCTATTTATAAATTTGTGTGTTTGAATATGAACATTTCTCTGTCAAAGCTTGAAAACTCAGTTTACCTTGCGGGACAAAACAAGTTAAAACAGGTCCTCAACAGATTTTCTTTTAATTATATCATAAGCTAAAAGAGCGTGCATAGTATTTATGAATGTGAACTTTCTTAGTTCCAAATAAAAATAAAATAAAGTGAATACTTAATTGCAAAATATAAATTACAAAAAATGCTAGATGTTGACCTGAACTTTTTCAAAAACCTCTAATAAAATATGTATTTTTCAATATAATTGTAAATATTCATACCTCGTAGCTTATTTAACTACACCAATTTCTAAATATCTCAAAATTAAACGTAATTTTGTATACAATTGCCGACATTTAAGTCTCAGCAGGGTTAAACATGCGGGTAACGCTACAAATGTCAGTTCCCCGCACGTGTTCAGTTATGTAAGCTCATGTTCAATTATGCACCACGCCCACATGAACACCGCACGCATGGGAGTTGTATGCTGCTTCCTGACTCGATTTTGCACATGACATTGCTGGTTTAGTCTCTCAGTCCGTCTATATTTTATAGGTAAAACTACACCTTAACTATTCTGATTATAATTGAATTCGTTAGAGTGAAAATTATGTTTGTAAACTAATATGAACGTTAAAGAGGAATCTCATGAAGTCTTTTGGGATTTTTAATCTTTTTGAGTACAGATATGAAGGAACATAAAATTGCATAAAGTTCCATTAAATGTATCAATAAAACTTTTAATAAAAGTGCCACGAAAGTAAAGTTTTTGGTTAGAGTAAAATTAAAAAGTAACTATGAACTTTGAAGGACATGTAATGAAAAGAGCAACGTGAATAATAACCTTAGATAATTCGCCTCTAGTAGTCATTTTAAGTTACTTATCATATTGTAGTACCAATAATAATTGTTCACCAATTTTTTTTTTTAACTATTCAAAAGTATTTCAAGTAGCTATTATACCAGAGACTCTTGGCATGACCTATTGGCTTTAATGATGATTATTCGTTGATTGAAATCGGTAATGAATTAGAATCAGCTATACAGTACTTAATATATATATTATTATATATATATATATTAAGATATATTATATAGTATTAAGATTTGCATAGAATTTCATAGTGAAATTGCTGTCGAATATAACTAATAAAAAAACGATATTATGAATTTATCTCAGTGTTTTTTTTTTGTTTAAAATATATTTAAATAAAAAATAACGTAGTACGCATAACCTATGCAGGGAGTTTCATAAAAACATGAAATTTTGTATCGTTAGACTATTAAAAAACAATGTTTCTAATCAACCTTAAAATTAAGAATACAATGGAAACTCCACGTACAATTTCGAAACTTAAATTTATTTAATTAAAATACAAAAAAGAAAATAATGGGTTCACAATAAAGTTTACAATCAGTGGGGAATTAATTTAATAAGGAAAGCTTTAGGCTAAGCCTATTACAATAGTTCTAAAGGTTCAGGTGTTATAATTTATTGCATGAATCTTTATCTTTGGTGGGGTGATCGAGCAGCATTTGAATTTAATCTTGAGATTTTTTATAGCCTAATTAAAATTTTGTTTGAAATATAAAATAGGTTCAAATTATAGATCGGTTGAATTAATTGAAGTTCTGAATATTAAGCTTCTATTAGTTTCTTGACTTTGAATTTGAGTACAAATGTCCAAAGGTTAGGCCTAAAATGATTTAATGACTTCTAAAGGGGAAATGTCTATTGGAGTGATCTCACCAAATTGATGTCTTCTTCGCAGCAAAATTTCTTGATGTAACTTAATTATTAATGTTTGTAATAAGGACGGTTCTTTTTCAAGCGAATTTTACTAATTTAGGTTCAAATTTAGACACTTTTTTTATACATTTTGATATTACAATAGGTAGTATCCAATTTACATCTTCATACTAGCTCAGCTCCATTGGAAGTCATGAAGGTTTGATACATTGTTGCACTCACATATGTCAATGCTGACTTAATCACATAAAATTGTAGGCCACTGTTCACACATATATATTATAACAAATTCCATTTGCTAGAGAGCTATATTTGAATTTTGAAAATTATTTAAATAAAATGATATTGAATTTGAAGCGAATTTGTTAACAAAAAGTTATAGGCTATTATATATTTACATGAAATTATGTTATTTGAAAATCTTTATATTATATTGTATTAAATTGATTACCTATTGGTCTGCATGGACAATTAATTAATTACTATATATGGTTTAAAAAGGGATTGACATTTAGATAAAATTAAAAACATATGGTGAAAGTTAAATTATCTATGAAAAATATAAGTGAAAATATTGAATTGTTACATGTTTAAATGTGATATCCACCGTTTTCATAACATAATATATTTCAGGTGTAACATTATTTATGTAAATATAAGATGAATGTTCACCAATGTAAGAGATACAATAAATCGATGTTCTTATTTCAAGAGGAGCCGGCATACGATCATATTTCACGGTGAGGTATGATTCATTGTATGCGATAAATCCCTTCCTACGTTGCGGAGGTTCTATACATTTGAATTCCTATAACCCAAGGTTTTATACACAAGAGTCTTTGCACCTGATATATTTCTTATAAATTTAAAACCTAAACATAATACAATACATGCCTATAACATGAACAAATCGCTGAACTTTTCAGAAGAAATAATTAAGTTTGTTTATTCAATTTAAGTGTTTACTAAGACAGTTGGTTACGGTTAATTTTTCTAATTTGCTACAATGTTTTCAGTGCATTCTATGTATTCACTCATATCCACGCATGCACTTATTTACTGCATGTTGGATAATTTAACGATATACAAGTTGACCCAATCATTTGTTTACAGAGCCGGACAGATGGCGACCACGCTCACAGGGTTGGGGTTCGTCTGGGCCTTTCTATCCTTGGCCGCAGCCATCACATGTTGCTCAGGCTTCTATCTGCCGTTCTGGATTCAGGTATGCATTTCACTTTTTCACCACCTTATGATGTTTTTAGCTATTTTACAAACGTTAATTGAAGGCTGAAAGCTACGTTTTGCTGTCCAGGTCCAAAATGCCAGCTTTCGTTGTTATTTGGGGCCCGATCAGGTTTTTACATCCCTAGGCCCGAAAATCAGCTGTTCGCAAATTGACTTAAAACATTCATGTGTGCATTACAATAGACCCAATTTATTGCTTGCCTAGCAACTATTTATATATCCGTTGATCCCTTTTAAAATATTTCTTTACATAACCTAAAGTTTTAGTTGTTTATATAGACTATTGTACCTACGCAATTATTGTATATCATTTCTCAATTTTGTTTAGTGTGGTGAAAAATAGTGTTCGTACCACGGGCCGAAAGGTTTTTGCAGCTCTCATTCGTTTTGAGTTCCTGACTTCGTCTCGACTTTAAAAATGGTCTTGAGCCAGCAAAACCTCATTTTTACCCCAAGATACGAAACATACTATTCTGACAGGATTAATAGTTTGGGGTAATAAGTATATAGATAATAAACAATGAAATGATACCACTTTGTCAGGTTCAATCCATTTTTAAAATTTAACCAGCTAAGAGGATTTTTCCGTGTCCAATGGAAGGGTTTTAAGATGGGTCCATCCAAATGTTACACCATAAGTAATGCTTGGTGAATAAGCATATTTAGTAGATTAGCATAGTAAAACTAGATCATCATCGTCGAATGGTTTTACACATTCTCGTATACGACAAATAAATCTAACAGTTGAATCTATTTCAAAACGAGTCTATGGCAAAAAGTAGTCCTTAGTTTGATACTTAAGATAGACCAACTAATCAGTTATGTATACGGTACATTAAACCATGAACATTTTATAAAAATTATGGATGTGTATTATGTTCTAGTTTTTTATTTAATGTGCAAATAAATTGTAAGTTAAATTTTTATTGTTAACTAACAAATTTCTGACTATTTCAAAATTACGTAAATATAAAACCACAAAAACCCACTAACGGTAAATCGACATTTGATACAATGGATGTTTGGCGTTGTTCATTGCTTTCGACACATTCAACATTGTTGGAATTGTTGTTTGACAAAATACCTTTAATTCCATACGGATATTTCTGGAAAGTCTAAAAGAATATACGTCAAGCAATGTTTAATATTACGTTTTTTATTGTATTTCAATAGTCCATTTATGAAACACTACTTTTGAACATTAATGAAAGTTTGTCGTGAAATGTTCGTTTGATAAAATACCTGCATTTTCAACCCATTATTTTGATCGAATCTAACCCATACCAAAGCACAGTATTCTGTATTAAAGTATATTCAACACTTTTAATATACCTTCGATTTCAACCATATTTCGATAAATAATTTCTTGAATAATACGTATCCTGCACTTTACTTAGAATAGCAGTCCTTATAATCGTATAATCTATTTACAACATTCAAGTTTTTTGTTAACTCGTTAGTTAAACTGTGGATTATAATACTCACCTTTAAAATCTAATGGACACTTTTTCGATTCCTCACTTTCAAACTTTAAAATATTATTTTGAGAAAATATATCCAATTCTATCTGTATACGTCTGTAAATTCTGACATAATATCTCGCACACCTTTGAACACAGTATTCTTTATCAAAGTATAATCCGTGTACCTGACACTATGATCAAAACCTCATGAATACTGTATGAGACCCCTTACCCTGTAAAGGACATTACATCCCGCCGAGGTGTAGGCCATAACTCATCCCTCCATAACCAACCCTCCACTTCTTGCTCGTCTGTTTTGGCCAGATTCCAAACAGTTTCATAACGATACATCCGGCCTGAAACCATTATAACCCGTATTTATATGCAACGACGCCATAAATAACTATTTTGGCTACAACCTTTGTATATAGATGTTATACATCATACGACAAAAAGCAGCACGAGCCAAAAACTAGAAGTTAACAGCATTGGCCATAGAATACCAAAGTAGAAATTATACATTTTGATCAGCTGCAGCCTTTTTTAGAAAAAACAAAACATAGTTTTTTGAGCCTATCACAAAATAGTGCTATGGTCTAAGTGGTCTTGTTTATTAAAAAAAATATCAATAACTACATATTTTAGAATGCCGATTAGCTACCTTAGTAAAGTGTAAATTTAGTTATCGTAGGTTTGGAATTTCCTTGGTTATATCTAGTTAACTTTCACCATAATATATTGTTGAACAACTTTAAAATTGTTAGATGATTTTAAAAACTTGAAATACGATTAGAATGAAATTGTAAAATATCAAATATGGGACAATAATACTCAAACGCAGCCTGAAACGATCACGTTAGTTACAAATACAAATTTTAAAACACATAAATAAAAAAAAGATAACCACGAAACCTGACAAAACAAAAAACTATAAAAATATACACGATGGAATATTTCAGGGTGTATTCGCTATAGACTGTTAAGTTATCGTCGTGAAGTTGTTGGTGTTAGATTTTTATTATTTGGACATTTATGTGTCCAGAAGCTTGAAATTCAAACACTTTGAAAGATTTAGACTTCATTCAGAATATTTGTTGCAGAGGATGCACATGTAGTTGAATTGTGTTGGAATTAATTTGAATAATAAAACATGGTTAAAAATTTCCATTTTGGTATTTCAGTTATATACCTGATAGCATACTGATTATTCAACGGGGTTTGATTTCCATAATACCATATGTATTAAAACTTATCAACTACCACGATTTACAATACATTATGATCATAATTTCAGTTCTCAATTCTAGCAATTGTTTTAAAACACTCCTAAGGTTTTTAAAATCTTTTAATAGTGGTAATTTGTGTTTAAATCACAGCATAATTCGTAAAATTATTAATTAAGATATTAATTACATTTCACTACATCGTTTGACTTAACCTTTTAAATTATTTTTTTCGAATTTTTATTTTCGCCCATCGAGTAAAAACTATGCCTATAAACCAAACCCCAGTTGACCGTAATTGTTTTAGCCCGGTGTTCCAGTTAGCTAAACTCGTACGATAAATATTCCAGGCCCTTAAGGTGTACAGTTATTGCAGCCACCACGATAAATGGAAACCACAAATGATCCCCAGGTGAACCTTTCCGTTTAAAGTTTTAAGTGGATTCTTTACAGGGTTAAAAGGTGCACGGAACAGAGGTAATTAATGTCAGATTAATCTAGTAGTTAATTGCAGGTATGGAATTATTACTATGTGGTTTCCATCGTATTAAATTGCAGTAATTAACTAGTTATGGTAACTTGTAACTTCACTAAGGTATGTTAAATTGTAACTGATGCAGGTTGGTAATTGTATTTTAACTAGTTGTTCATACAATATATTGTTAAAATGGTTGTGTTTAAAAATACTATGTAAATAAACCCAATTGATTCGATTCATTATTATACACCTTGACACTTATAGACTTGATCTTGTGTATAACGCTAATTAATTTATATTATTAACCTATGAGTTTATAACCTATATTCAGTTACAACATTATTTAAAGATTTAATCAATTTGCACAATACACTCATAGCATTATTCAACTAGAACCAATTTTCCCAATTTCATATAAAACGGAATTCTAAATAATAATTTTAACTACTTATCTATAAAAGGTTACCAATGGTTGATAAAATTACTAAGCTAGAGTTAAATGAGAATAGTGTGCTAACATCTTCAAAAGGTTCCTTAATTAATTAACTATTATTATTAAATTTTCTTTCTAAATGTGTTTGAACTAATTACCAAAATATAAAGGACACATAAAACGTACTCATGGCTATATTTTTATATAAAATATCTAGAGTAGTTCATTATCGAAATACGAAGAGTTATTGCATTACCACAACACCGTAACAATGCTTTCAGTTGATTTCATATAGGTTTAATCATATTTGCCAAGAAACATATTTTACAGGAAAATTGTAATGAAATCAAGCAAGAATTTTATTATTCGTTGTAACAAAACAGTTGTTTTCATACGTATCTGCACGGGAGTGGAATATTTATTGGACCAAGGGTTTACAAAAAACCGAATCCTCGTGGTGTAAAAACATGCACGGTCACAGCGTCCTTAAATTAACGCATCACTTCTTCGGATGAACATATCACCTTGTTTTGTTTTGTGATTTCAGGGAATTAAATAAGAAGGATTAAATACATAGCGTTTCTTGGCTTGGAATTACAATATTTTTTTATTATTACAAAAACTAAAATAAATTACGTCATCAAGAATTTAGGTGGAACGATTTATACCTGAGTTCGTTGTGTATTCAGTTATGAAAATTCTTAAGTGTAAACTTATAACTAAACTTCATCATTGTATTGTTAAATCGACTCCTTTTCACACAGACTTTTAGGGAGATATTCATCATACATAATGTTATTGTAATTGATTTTTAAAATGTGTTCAAAACTGTTATCTACGATCAGTTTGTATTGACTAAATAGTGTCATTATTGGCATAACAAAATAATAAGATGGCCCGCCTGCAGGATAACTTAAATTCATATTTGTTACCAGTTTTTGATAACTATATACTATTAAAAGTTTTCGTTTTCTTTAATTGCCTGCTACACTCATTTAAATATGAATTGTATAAATGGATTTTTATTTACACCACGGCACCTACACATACACAAGGAAGCCCCAAAGCGCCAGTAGCAAGGTCCCACGTCTCGTGTAGCTCTAGGAATAGCCACCGGATTTGGACAGCTAAGTTTAGACTCGTATTCCTCTTCTTCCTCTGACAAATTTATCAGTCCCGCTAAGAGCCAAGACCCTAGACTGAGAGGTTAATGGGCTTTCTATTCCTGTTTCCGTTTAAATAATACTTTAACAATTACATATATTGGTTGACGTACGATGAATAATCATTTATAAAGAAAACGCATTAATATAATTTTCTTATTTGTTTGCCAAAAGACTATTTCCTGATATACATAAATAAACAGTTATATGTTCTTCA